GTTAGAGAGATATCGACTTAGTGATAACGACCGATTGTGAACAGGATAGTGACAGCGATATCGACTGTAAGAGTTACATCGACATCAATAGCGATCAACAAAGCGGTAGAGACAAGATTAGTGAAGCTGTATCAAACCGATCTCCATCTCAAAAGGGTGCTTGGTAGGTCTTTAAGAGAACTGTTATGATTGTTTTTATGATACTAACAAACTGAAACATTTAATGCTCATTATGCCAGTTCATTCTATATCTGATACAAATACTCAATGTCTCATCGTTGGCGCCGTCAACCCAAAGATGCTAGGTCATCGAGATACTCTCGTTCTTATATAGAAAGGGGAAGGGGTCATTGTGGTGCCTTCCCTGTCGGTCAACTTAATCGAACCGCTTGTTTGGGGAGGGGTCATTGTGGTGCCTCCCCTTGTGGTCAAGATAATCAGCCAACTTTTCAGTCTGGAAGGGGTCATTGTGGTGCCTTCCTATCCGATCACTCTCAAAATTCAAATAATCATTCTTTACCGCCAGACAGCGATAATTGATCAAATATTCCAAACGGTAGATATGACTTAGCTCAACAAGGTTCACCTTATGGAACGGTCAATCATGGTCCTGATCAATCACTCCAGCTGGAATCTGGCTATCTCGACCGCCACCCATATCGCCGTGACTATCCAGGGACGTCTGTAAATGGACCAGCCACACAGGCAAAGCTGGAACCCTGCAGCGACTTCACGGTTGAAGCAAGATGGCAGCAGTCAGTTTTCTCTGTAAACCAAAAATGCACTTATAAAAAGTTCTGGTGACACCAATGAAATCTGAATTGTCATCGGTCTCACCAGCATAGAGGGGATGCATGACAAGACGGTTTGACAACATCTTAGGTCCGAACAGTCTGAAACTGCATGATGATGATGTCGGTTGCCCCAAAAGTTGCTGTAGATTCCGGCCCTCTGGCAAGGAAGTCCTCCACGACAAACGGGCTGAAGGCCAGGTTGTCAGGACAAAATTCTTCCTTGTTGATCCGGTGAAGCCTGGTTGTCAAGGAGGTCAAGCTCCCCCACACACTAGATGATGATCTCTGGTGACCAGAAAGTCTTGGTAACTGAAACTTAAGTAACCATGATTGCTAGTGGTGACCCTGTCGCATGTTAGGTCTGAAAACACTTATAAGGCTCCCGAGTCCCCCACTCTCATTCAGGTACATGATTCCTGTCTCCACCACTTTTATTTCACACCAGATGTTATTTCATTGCAATTCACTCAACCATCAAGAAATCTGTTTGTAATGCTATATCAACAACTTCATTCCCGCCATCTACGATGTCCATCTGCGTTCATCGGATCTGTCTTTTTGGCTTGAGATTTGGACAGTTGTCCAATACCAAGTCCAACGCTCGCCAGCATCTCGATTTGTACAAATCCATACGGATGCATGAACTGCCCATGCAAAAGTGACTGCGATGTGTATCATCGCCAACCAAGCTCATTGCTCGCTTCAAAAACCCCCAGCCTGCCGTTTGCAGATTGACCTTCAATGCCTCCGTTTGCTGACCATTCATCCGACCTGCCTCCGATGCGCCCGGGATTTGGGGCTCAGGGGTGAGGTAAACACCTGGGCAGCTAACCTCAACCATCTTCATGATGGAGTACATACAGCTTGCATATTGCTCCATCATCATCGGTGAAGAATTCTTGACAAAATCCCTTCGATTCGCAACCGTCTTCATTATCTCTAGCATTCTTTTCAATGCCGAGCGACCTGATAGCTCGGACTTTTGCTTGAATTGCAATTGGTCCTCCTTGGTGCCAACAATGTCTCCCGAGGGGTTCGTGAATAGCTCGGTGGTCTCCGCAATTGTTGGGCAGGTACAGAATTTTCTTCGGCAAGAACCATCCGTGCAATCGACCGGCATGGTTGGCACTACAAGAGAAGTTGATTGAACTAGAGCAGGTCGACGTGTAGCCAGCGCAACAGAGGGGCAACGCTTTCTTGCTTGAATCCCTTGTGAGTTCGTTCCAACTTCGTCTATCTTTCGCTTTTGAACCCGTGGAGCTGGTCTGATTATCTCCACATCGCTTTCATTTGTAGGAAACAAAATTTCAATGTCATAGTCGATGAGTTCTGTGGCAGTGCCATTTCGCGGGACCGAGTTGTTGGTTGAAGCAGCTTTTTCAATGACCAGCATGTCTTGTTGACGAGCGATGTAGTACATGTGTTTACAAGCGCTGCCAAACCGTGTGTAGTGCTCGCATGAACAGCTAGTTAGCCATCCTCTGTAGCTGTTGCGAGCACACGTGTAGACGATTGAATAGGGCTTAAGAGTTGGATTGGTGAACGAGTCAATGGTAAACTACATCATTTATTGTATCAGTTTTCTATTGCGTTAATGAATATATGATTGTTATGTGTCCGTGAATGAGTCACTCACATGCAAAGGGCCCTTCTTTAACTGTATGCCAAGCAGTTCCATCATTTCTGGGGAATATCCATAGGCAGTAGCCTTGGCGCGTCGCTGAAATTTGTTGCTGGTTTGTTTTGCAAAACCGTCCTCAACCCGAGCTTGCGTCCATCGGTAGGTGGACTCAACCTTTTCAACAAGGATCTTCACGACATGATCTATCCGTCCGCGCTCGTTTGAAGAGATGTACTTTGTCTTCAAAACTCGATGCCAGGATTCAGTGTAGTTGTTGGTGTGTATTCCCTGATGTGCAGTCTGGCACAAAAGTTGTCAGTTGAGTACATTGGATGGGTGAGCAGGGTTACGGGATAACTCACAGTTCGATAGTAGATAGCCCAGTACTTTATCCTTGTCCCCCACTGACCAGAGACGTATTCGACAAACCCAGGGCTGATGACCTGCCACTTGGCCAGGTAGTTTTTCAACAGTGGAATTGGGTGCACTCGACTGTACACAACTGACCGAAACTCTTTGAAAGCCTCTTCCGACCGGTCCCGAAGATATGTGTTGGCCTGACCTCTAAGCGCCTTCAAGACATGAAACAAGCACCAATAATGCTTTGGTGCATGTTCACCTACATCCTGATAGACATGGGATACTGCATTGGCAATGGCCAATGCGCAATCACTCATAACCGACTGAGGTATTATGCCAGTGGTGTCTCGAAGCCATTGAAGGACTGCTGCAAGTGGCTTCCTATAGAACAAACCTTGCTTTAGTTTTTGAATCATGTGGGTAAAAAAACGAGTTTTGCTTACTCTGCAGCTGAGGCAGTGAAGGCCCAAGCAATTGGGAGACCTTTACCAACAATAGGATCGCGAATCAGGAAGGTGTACAAGCTGGCTTTGCGACCATCGGAAAGAAAGTAGTTGTTGACTGAATTGTGTGTAGCATCAAGCATGAGCATGCTACTTCCATGTTCGATCAGCATTCGTTTTTGCCAAGGTGACTGTAGTGCAAATATGAAGTCGGCAGAATCTACGATGTTGGTATGTGTATTCCAACTTCTGGAAAGCAGATTAGTGCTCCACATTGCGAGTGAGTGGAGAGGATTGCGATTGAGTTGTGAGGGGATAGTCCTCCGAGTCTGTATCAGGTAGCGGACTCGGTCGTAGGTGACACCATGGGCCTCAGGCTTGACTGTAGACGACCTCAGCTAAGAAAGAAGCAAAAGAAAATGAGTCAAGGAATTGAACATTCATTGAAATGAGACAAAGATTACACACATCCAAAACATCGTCAACCCGGGTGAGATCGTGGATTTCATTCCACCCAAGGCCTGAGTCAACTCGGTCTTTGATCCAGTTGTCGACAACAAGCGGTGGGCGGGTGATGAGCATATGCTGATGGGTTGTGAGTTCATGGTTATGTTGCCAGTGCCATGTTACTCGCAAGGAATTCGATTTGATATGATGGGACACCGAAAATCTTGCCTTACATCCACATCGGGCTGATAGGTGATTCTTCTTTCGAGAGTTGGGAGTGCCTTTGGGATACCCACTGCATGGACACTGGTACTCCAGCTTAAAGAAAGCCTCCAGACGGCGGCCACTGCCTTCGAATTTGGCCAACTTCTCGGGTTTGCTGGGGGTTTTTCTCTGAAGATTCCATCGGATTGTTGCTTGCATGGCCTTCACAAATTCCTGTGCCTCCGATAGGGTGTTGCCAGGTATTGTGAACAGGTAAGGGTGGGTTGGAAAGGTCGGACTGGTGCCACCAATGTTTCGAACCATTCTAAGGGCATTGGGAGCTGACGATACCCCTTCGGGGACAGGTATTTCTTGTGTAAGTGGGCGGGGGACGACATCGTAGATGTTCTGGACAGGAGGGTAAGATAAGAGGGTGGAGGTTGTGATGGTGGATGCCATGGGGAATGATTACGTTGAAGGGAAAGGGTAACGGTGGAATAATCACAAAGAAAAGAGGGGTTGTAACACAAGTCAAGAGATGAATGATAAACCAAACAGGCTAGTTAGTCGGACCAAGGAGAAAAATTAAGATTAAAGGCAGGTCAAGCAAGCAGTCAAGGACACCGAATCTCAGGAAACACACAGCAAAATAGAAGTAGTTGATAAGGAATTAATGAAGATCAAGTTGTCAAATGGCTTCAGTCCTGAGTTGAGGCAAGGACTTGATGAAATTGAATGGAAATTAAGGGAATACTATAAGAATTACTGATGAGACGGATGCTGATTGAGCATCGAGAGGAGGGGTGGCTGTTCTTATGGGAGGCAGCTCATCATGGCCAAGTTGGACTTTGTCATCTTTTGCTTGGGATCCATGTAGCTGTGGCACTGACTCTCGGTGACACATTGCGGAAGGGAGGCACAACCCCATGTTGCTGCTCATCATGTCATCCAGGCTATTCCAAAAAGGTCATTTCGGTGTTCTGCTTTTGCTTTTCATTTTAAATTATGGGTGTTTAGGCCAATCCTTTACACAAGACGACTATCATGTGGGACGTTTCAATTCTCGGTGATGACCTACCTCTTTGATGAACTTCAGAATACATAGCGGGCGCTTTGTTTTGATCATGATCAAACCCCTCGTCTTTAAGATGATAGTTCGCACGAAGTGACTAATTCGAGTGAGGTGTTTGTGACTTTTCAAGTTAAGTTAGTGGCATGTGAAACCAATGTTACCTAACCTGATGAAGCTCGGTCGAGTGGACGAGACGCTGGCGGCTGAATGCACAGCCAATCCAGCCCAAACCCACCTCAACAGCAGATCCAGGCCAAACTATAAAGTCCATCATCCAGCACCGCCACCACTAGCTGGTCGCCCATTCCCCCCGAAAACTACATATATCACCACCATCGCACAATCTCTCTCATTCCCATTCGCAAGCACCTCCAACACGAATCATATCATAACAGAAGGAACCTCCATCCATCCATCCCACAAGGACTTATTTATACATCGAGTGAGTCAAGCTAGTAAACTGTCATTATTGTCATCCCAAAAGCTAGAAACAGTAGCTGACCGCATCTTGTCGTTTCATCTGCAGAGGAAGAAATAACGATGACGTCTATCGCGGAACTGAACAAGAACGGCGGCCAGGCCGGCAGTGCGGGAAGGCAAGATGTGGTCTTGGAACTAGAGCCTCAAGTGCCCCATCAGGAACCGCCTCACCCGCCGCCAGTATACTCTCTAACGAAAAGCTCGGACTACCAAGTTCCACAACCACAGGACACACAGCGGTCGTTCGACTCGGTCGATCTCGAGGCCCAGACGGTGCCCCATCGTCATCCTCATTCTCACCAGGCGCCGGCCGGGCTAGATGAGCCCGAACAAAATCCAGACGAAAAACGCTCGTCGCTTCGGCTCAGAGGCGGCTGTTGTTGTTGCGACTGTCTCTACGACTTACTGAGGTGTTTGCTGTGCTGCTGCATATTTGAAGGTCCGTAATCTCCCTACAGACACACACGCATTTTACCTCCCACCGATCTAATCAATTCTTGCCTTTCTATCGGTAGCTATCTGCGACATGTGCTGTTGATTTGGAAATCTCATATCAACCGAGCGGCTTCCACATCGATCCTCCTCTCTTCACATACACGTACACGACCGACAAGCATTCCCTTCTTTTGTGTGCCTCATCGGACACTTCATTTATCTCCTTTGCACGCCTCCCATACCAATTCGCACCATACATCTCCCTCTCTCTTTCTCCCGTACATATACACGCACACACCACACACACACACTTGAGCGACGATCAGTTCTTACACATACATAGTAGCAAGAATTTTCCGTCACCAAGTTCAATCGGCTCGTTTTTAACGGGGTCCTCTTTATGTCGTTTTATTAGGATCGTTTGTTGTAATTTCTTACTTTTCGTCTATCCTTTTCTCTCACGCACGGTTCACATGCCTCTGATTTGACCCTTCCTAACTTCTTACTTCCCCCTGCTCGTTTTATGCCTTTCATTTGCCTACATATAAAAAATACATTGTTGATAATCTTGGCCTCATACATACACGAATTCATCCGGTCATCGTAATCAAACATCAATGGCCCCCACTTCACCGATGCCAGTGCGATATTTAGTCTCTCCCCTGGTACTCAACTGAGATCTGAATTGCCTAAATAGGTTGCAGAGTCTTTCTTGCTATCACTCTTGCCATGCGCATATTATATATATCGAGCTTAATTGCACATGTTCTGGCTGCAGCACGCTAAGCTTGCGTATTCCAATGGGATTATGGTACTTCTTCGTCCACGGCTGAACATGTAATCCGAAGAAACCAGCGCCGAAAGTAAATGCCAGCTGCCCATCGGTTGGAAGATATGCCCCGAGGATTCCTATCGGCTCTATGTAATTGTGTTGTGTGGCGTTTGTGCCTGTCCAGTGGGATAGGCCTTGGTGCATCAATTGCTCCGGCCACGGAATATAAATCTTCGTTACTTGATAAAATCTCTTGCCCTACGAAGTGGCTTTGCCTCTTTCGCTTTGCGCCGACCGCGGTAACCAGCAATGCAGTGAGGCTTCTCCGGAGTCCAAACCAGCAAGGATACGGAAGAAATATTTTCTTGGCAGATTTGACGGCGCACCTATAGCTATGCACATCTCCGCGCGGACGGGTCACATTCAGGAATACAAGTCAACTGAACATGACCTCGCCAATGCAGATTAGGAGGGGGGGGGGGGGGCTGTGATGAGGGACATCGGCCTTATCTGAGTCAGAAATGTTTACCCGCTGTATGTATGAGTGTTCAGAAAGGCTGGACCAACTAATATAAAGCAAGGAGATTTCTTACTTAAGTCATCATATCAGTCTCATCGCACCCTCAACATTAAGCTGGTTTACATCTTACCAGTAAATTCCAGAAGACCCACACATACAAATAGTTTAAATCAGTATCTCGGCGACTTTTGGTACCCACCTGTCTCTCTTGAACATGCACTTTCCCAGCTCAATAATCATCTTCTTAACTGTGGCTTGTGGAATTGCAACTTGTGCGAACAGTTGGCGTGTTTACGGAGGGGTTACATTAACATGCAAAGGAGAACACCCTCTAGGACTTTGCCTCCATCATCAGGGCTCGGACTACAAGGGTGAGTGTAATAGTTCGGCGATTCTGTCTACCTGAATTCGCTCTTCCCGCTTCGACAGTTGACCTGAATGAATCTACTACTGGGATAAAAGCGGTGGTCGCCTCTGATATCACTGACGGAAGCGGAAACCCACATCCGACCACCCATAGCTGCGACGGAAGCGGCGCGGCGCTTTCAGGCGTGTTGCATCAATCAACTTGCTGGCTTTGGCAATCAGGTGAGGACATATACCATGATAGATTAATCTCTTCAATCTGGATCCTCGAAACTTGAAGCGACTTGTTTTTAACCCTGACTTGGAGATATTTAAATTATAGGACAGGGGTTGGTATGGAGGTACTGAGCAGCCATTTTGGCCAAAAAAAATGAAAACATGGGGATGAACCGCCAATTTGGCCAAACAACCGCCAAATGACGCCCCTGAACCGCCAGAATGGCCAAATTGAAAAATGAATCCAACCGCCAAATTGGCCACCCATGCTCCTGAGCCGCCATCATTGCCCCTGAGCCGCCATGCATGGCACTGAACCGCCAAATTAGCCATCAATTTTGAAAAAGGTCGAATACAGCCTGAAAATCATACAGGGCATGGCGCACTACAGAAGCCACATTCCCCACCTGTATCAGAAATGTAAACACATAGATTCTGTTTGTTCCATAGTGTTACCCGTTACTCGTTACACATAAGCACAAAACAAGCCTTGCATAAGTCACATCCAGACAACGATCCATCCCTTCCCTTACAGCTTCCAGACGATCCAGGCCTGTCCTCACAACATCAAGACGACCCAATCCTTTCCATTTCTAGATCAAGAGTAAGCAGCAGAATCCCATACTTATGCACCCTTAATAGCCAAACACAACTAACGTAACTTGCATAGAAAAAAAGGTGTTCTGTTTCCAGTGTGGAAAATCTCCCGTGGTTTTCCGTGGATTATGCAACGACTGTGTTGACAAAATGATTCCAAACTCAGCGCCTCCTCCGCAAATCAGACCTCCAACTGGCCAATTGACCTCGGCTCAAGAGGTTCTCCAATCTAAACGGCAAGAGGCAATCCAAAGGGCCAGAGCGTTATACTCCAATCCAATCACCACACCTACTGTCCCCAGCCCACTCGGCCAGTCCATGGCATTTCCTATTGGCGTGAACCCAGTGGTGAATGGATTGACAGGCAGCAGTCAAAGTATGTAATTTCATGCGTGTAAATCCCATATCGTTCTACTTCAAACGTTAAAACTCACCTATAACCTTATTACTACTGTCTAATACCCCACCACAGCTGTGGTCCCTGCGGTCTTGAACCCTGCATACGAATCAGCCCAAGCATCACATTCCATGGCATTTCCTATTGCCGTGAACCCAGTGGTGAATGGATCGACCGGCAGCAAGCAAAGTATGCAATTTCATGCGTGTAAATCCCATATAGTTCTACTGAAAAACGCTGTAACTCACCTGTAACCTTATTACTACCAACACAGCTGTGGTCCCAGCCATCTTGAACCCTGCATACGAATCGGCCCGAGCTTCAAGAGTCTCGAAAACTCAACCTTACCCAAACAACCGAGTTGGACGTACAGTTGCAAGAAGAGCTCCGGCAAGTAAAGGTGCCCTACCTACTACCAATCCTCCCGATAAGATTTCGGTCCAATGTGGCTTTGAGATGTGGGCCCGAGGCAAATATGCCCCTTCACAATCGGTCATTCGAAGCAATCAGTTTGTGCTCTGGTCAAATCCTGATTCTTTTCAAGAGCTGATCGACACGCTCTGCAACAAGTTCAACGGTAAAGTGGAACTCCGGACGAAGATGACTGAGGACAGGGAAATGTTTGGTGTCGAGCACTTCAGTTTTTGTCGGTTAGGTACCAAGAAAGGAGGATCTGTTGAAGATTACGAATCGTTTGTCGATTTCTTAAGGCGGGAAAAGGCGATCGACTTGATTTATGACCGGGACACCTTTGAACGGCACACCCTTGATGAAGAAGAACAAGAAGGAATTGACGCTCAAGCTGCACGATATGCTCTCCGATCAGGAAAGGACACTGAATATCATGAAGATTTGCATTCGGCCGCTGAAAGTGACAGCTCTGAATCCAGTCTTCCTTCGACCATTCTAACATCTGCAACCGGTTCCACATCGACCAGAACCTTACCGCAGATTCGATCAACTTTACCTCCTCCTCCAAGTCTACCTTCTTTGAAATCAGCAACCCGGTCAACTCCAACCACTCATTTACCCCAAAAGAAATCACTTGTTCCTCCTCCCTCTCAGCCAGTGGTTCAGAACGACCATGATCAACGTCCAAAATTCTCCTCAGTCATTCAACAAGAGACCAACCCCCATGTTGAAGCCTTGAACAGAAACTTGGACGACGAACTTGTGATTTTTAGCATCCGCCCATCTTGTAAGTGTCACTATTTTATATAACCACCTGACTTGAGTGACTAAGAATTTGTTATTAGGGCGAGCCGAAACAATATTGGATCCAAACAATTTATCTTGGGAGAGATTTGGGAGCATGGAGGACACCGTGTCATACCGAGATTCCGACAACTCTGACTGGGTTGATGGAGTTCGATTGAGCCTGGATCCCGATGGGCTCAACATGCCTCAGATAATTTGTCTCTACCGTGTGAATTATAACAAATGTTTCAAGGTGAAAGAGACGACCAAAATCATAGCAGCCGAGGTTCTTGACTCTGGAAAGGTTTTTCCCATGGTAGCCGAATACTCTCGAGTCCGCAAGGATGTAACACGTGATTCATATTCATGTGTACCAAACTATTGGCTGAGGACCTACGCGGTTTCCAGGCAATTCCTGGCTCAATTCTGTCAGGCTATAAGTCAGTCGGAAGGTGGGACAATTATTAAGCAAACAGCAAAAAGGTTACGGGTGAGTGTGTCTGCTATTCAAATCCTTTACAAATTTATTGGACTAACCAACTACCCACCAGATTGTCGATGGATTTCCTGTTCACCATGACATCTTTACTCGACCAAGACATGAGGATAAATATGTTCCTGGTCAGGATGATGATATGTTTGATTCCACTGAAGAACCCAACTACAATCTCCCACCCAACAATATTTCCGATGAACCATCTCGAGTGTTCTGGATGGAAGAAGAAATCACTGGCGGCTATACGTCCCTTTTGTCAATTGATGACGATGTCTACTTCACCAGTGAACCTCGCTCTCCCACCGAATTTTTGCTCCACTCGTTTCAACACTGGCTCTATAATCACACTCGTGGCCAGATCACCATTCATAAATTTAAAGGCTATGGTACCCTTATTTCCAAACCACACATTGTAGATTTGAACACTGAGTATGTGCTATACATCAATCCTCTTGATTTCTGTATTTGACACTCATAATTTCTATACCCTTTGATTCCACAGGTCTATTTGGGAGAATGAATATTCGAAAGAGTTCATGGAATTATTTCTCGAGAAGCACAAGTGCAACAAGGTGTGCAAAGACCTGGAACTACCCGACTTGGTCGAAATCCCTTGGGTCCCGCCACCCAGTGCCCCGGACGACTTTGCCAATGACCTGGGCCACTTTTGCCGAGCCACCGTCAACACTGCTGAATCCACCAGCAACAACCCACAAACCTCCTGCGAGATCAGTCAATCCAGCAGGTTCAGCCACCAATCCACCAGCAACATCAGTCAATCCACAAGCAACATCGGACACACCACTGGTAACACTGGACTAACCAATGAACCAACACCTGGCCCTACGGATGAGGATCTGGGGCTGATCTCAGTTGTCAGACTGGGCACCCAGGCGCTGAGGTCACGATTTCATGATTGACACTCTAATATATATAGATTTAATGGCCACTGGATCAATTATTCTTCCTTGATAATTGTCTTTTTGCATGTTACGGCTATGTAAACCATTATAATTACTTTATAATTGTCTTTTTCCATGAGCCCATTGCCAAATGAAATGAATCAGGGTCAGCCCTTTTAGACTCGAGGCCATGTCTCATGTTCATTCACAGCCCTCAATTATACAGCCCAGTACTGGATATTTCTTCTAATCTGAGATGAGAATTTTTCTCGATCCCTCACCTCAACCACTCATTATTTCCAAATACCAAAGGCCTCTGATCACCCATCAATTGAACACCACCTCTTCAGCCCAGCAGCTCCCCCTGGTCCTTTTCCCCCCCATACCTGTTTCCTGCTAGTAAGTTGCCCTGCTCTTCCTTGAATCGTGATTGCTCTTTGGCCACTGCCTCAGATGATGGTAGTGGCTGAGGGCCAATGCTGACCCCATTCCTCCCTCTTTTTTGGATTGGTAGGCCTTGCAGCCACTGCCATCCATGATGGTAGTGGCTGCAGAGGAGGAGGAGACATGCACTGACTCCCCCCTTCCTTGTCTATTTTGTAGGGTAGCTGAATACGAGAACGATCGCGGAGATCGTTCTGCGCCTTGTGAGTGAACGGCCGAGTCCTCGGCCGTTTGTTTTAGTCATTGTTGTCTAGCCTGAGAGCCACTGCCATCCACGCTGGCAGTGGCTGCAGAGGATGAGGAGAGGAGATACGCTGACCCCCCCCTCCTCGTCCTTGTTGTAGGGTAGCTGAAAACCGCAACGGTCCCTCGGATCGTTACGACGCAGGTGAGTAAACGGCCGAGGACCTCGGCCGTTTTTGTTTTTCATAGTCTAGCACGACAGCCACTGCCATCATGGCAGTGTCTGTGAGAGGAGGAAGAGAGGAGACTCGCTGACCCCCCCCCCCCCCTCCTCTGTCCGTGTGTGTAGGGGTAGCATAAAAAGCGCAACGATCCCTCGGATCGTTACGCCGCTGGTGAGTGAACGGCCTCGCCGGATTTTTTTTCATTCTATAGCACGACAGCCACTGCCATCATGGCAGTGGCTGTCAGAGGGATGGAGGAGAGGAGATACGGCTGACCCCCCCCCCCCTCGTCTTTGTTGTAGGGTAGCATAAAAGCGCAACGATCCCTCCGGATCGTTACACCGCTGGTGAGTGAACGCCCTCGTCTGTTTTTTTTTTCATTCTATAGCACGACAGCCACTGCCATCCACGCTGGCAGTGGCTGCAGAGGATGAGGAGAGGAGATACGCTGACCCCCCCCTCCTCGTCCTTGTTGTAGGGTAGCTGAAAACCGCAACGGTCCCTCGGATCGTTACGACGCAGGTGAGTAAACGGCCGAGGACCTCGGCCGTTTTTGTTTTTCATAGTCTAGCACGACAGCCACTGCCATCATGGCAGTGGCTGTGAGAGGAGGAAGAGAGGA